TTCTCTTTCCTATACACACTTTTTATTGATTTGCGACTAAGGTTTCTTCTGCCTGAATCATCCTTTCCTAATCGTCCCAAATCCTATCTATCTTTCAAGGTCTACGGCAAACTGCCTCTTCTCCATGAAGCTTTCCCTGATCTTCTCAGCTAGAGGTAATTTTCCTACTTCTAAAGTTCCATAGCAATTCACAAAAGCCTATGTGTCTTTTAGTTATATTATAAGCAGAAAAATACATTATATAACTGACATTTTCCTTTTTAAGGGAAAAAAATTCACAGCTATACCAGACTAAGTGTTTAGTAGGTGACTACCTTGAAGTCTATGGCTCCAATGGGGCAAGGCTTCTAATTCAGGATGGTCCCATACCCAGATCCCATTAAGGAGGATCTCTCCTTCCACTTGAACCACCTTCTGAAAAGACAAAGAATAAACCTCCCAGGGAGCCTTGTGACCTACTATATGGACAGTTGTAAGCACTATTTGCATAGAGACATCTGAGGCCTCTCTGCTGGTAGGTTGTAGCTCCTACCCTGGAGCCTGAGTGAACTTAATGCCAAGTGTTGTCAGTGATAGTCCTGTGAATTTGAACTTTAGTTGAATCTAAAAAGGCCTCATGGTGGAGGTCTCAAGGATCTTATTATGTTGAATAAGTGAACTAGTACACATAAAACTCTTAAAACAGTGTCTAGCATATAATAACGGCCCAATAAATGCTATCTATTGTTGTCCCTGGTCAGAAAGTGACAAAGATGGAAAATGAGGCATGTGTTAGTTTATAGCTAGGTGCCTCCCCAAAGCCTCAGGTGCTCAAAGGTGGGGCAGTACAGTATAGCTGACTTGCTATTAGAAGGTGAGTTCTGGCAGAAGAGGCAGGTCATTGTGGGTGTGACCTGGAAGGGTGTATTTCCTTTCTCAGTTCTCCCTTAACTCTCTCTTTCCGGGACTCGATGACATAAGCAGCTCCTGCTCTGCTTTGCCTCTTTGCCACAGCATTCTACCTTGGAGCCACCCAACAGTGGACCATAACCATGAGCCAAAATAAACCTCTTTCTTTAAATTGTGTCAGGTACTATGTCTCAGTAACAAAGAAACTATGAAAGCACGTCTGAGTTCAGATCCTGTGATCCTAACCATTACATTTGGTCTTTTCCATATAGAACCAGCTCTCTCTTTCCCTCTCTGCACTTGCTCTCAAAAGAGTTTTCTATCAGATGTGCACTTCAGTACAAAATTCAGTGACTTTATTACCTGCTCATAAATACTGACATTTATAATCATTATTTTTGTATGTTCCCAAAACTATTAACACTTGGTACAACTGTTAGTATAATTAGCTATGAAAATGATGATGAACTATGAGTGCAAAGAGTTTCTCTCCTCTATGATGCCTAACTGGAACTCTGTAAAGACTTCAAAAGAAAAAAACAAGTCACACAGAAGAAAATTATCCCATTGGAGTAGGTGCAAGAAAAATATAAAAGACAAGAGTGTGTGCTCAGATTGCTTCCATAGCCTATAACTCTTGCCCTACTTTTAACTGCTTTTTCTTTGTGGTGCTAGAGATTGAACCTAGGGCAATGCACAAGATGTTACGTAAGTCCGCTGCCACTGAGCTAAATCCCCAGCCCCTGAATCACTTTTTTTTTTTGGTATGGGGGATCGAACTTGGGACTTTGTGCTTGAGAGGCAGGTATCAGAACCACTGAGCTATATTCCCGGCCCTCCCTGCACCACTTTAAAGATATCAAAACTGGAACCCTGAGTAAATATACCATGGAACTCTAATCAGTAGACTACATAAGCACACATATAAACTCTCGTTTATATATCAAAAGACTAGAAAATATATGTCCCAAAATCATTTTAAGTTAAAATGTTTCCCTTTCTCCCTTTCCTATGTGTGTGTATGTATATGTGTGTGTTTTCAATATGATGGTTTTATCTATGAGTATACTAAAAGAGTTGCAGAGACAAGAAGAAAAGGTTTATAAAGAGGAAGAATCAGGCCAGGGATTTAGCTCAGTGGTTCTGGCACCTGCCTCGCAACCGCAAGGTCCCGAGTTGGATCCCCAGTACCAAAAAAAAGAGGAAGAATCAATGTGAGAGAGTAACCAATGCTATCAGTAACAGAGCTAGGAAAAATACAGGTAATGGGACACTTGATCTGAGTAGGTACAAAATATGGAGTAAAGGCAGTAAGAAAATAGTGTGAATAAAGCCACAGAGGTCTAAGTAACATAGCTTGTTGACAAAATGTCAGTAGATTGAAGGGTTCAAAACAATTAACAGTAACAGAGACCTAAGAAATAGGTACAGTCTAGATCTTTATGAGCCTTAAAAGCCAGAATATAGAGATTAGACTTTAAGAGAAAACATAAAGCAAACACAGAGTTTTAAGCAGTAGAATACAATAATTGGATGTCTATATTAAAAAATCAGTATAGCAATGGCAGTAACAGAGATTTGAGGGCATGGAGAATGACAGACTTTTAAAAAATGATTTTGATAGGTCAAGCAAGAAATGAGAGCCTAGGACTAAGTAAATGAAATTTAAATGAAAAACATTATAAAGGTAGGATCAACAAAACTTGGCAACTAAATTCTTAACTATGGGGGGTCTGAGGAGTGAAAGAAATATAAGAAAACTCTTTGGTTTGTTTGATAATTCTGTTAGATTACCAATAAGTTATTCTCCCAGTTTATTTTAATGAAGGAAAAGCAAGACTTTCAGAAGAGCAAGTCAACTCAGGTTTTTTTGAGCTTCAAAAGCTTATAATACAGAAAGTAAAAATCCCCAATAATTAGTAGGATGTAGATAACCAGAGTGGAGGAGAAATGTCAAGTCCTAATCCTGTTATTGGGCAGCTTGTTTCTAAAAAGTGGTTTGCCAACTAAATATTATCGTGTTTAAGGTTGCTCTCCTCTTCTTCTAGAATTGGTTTCCAGGTTCTTCTTGCCTTGAACAAAGAACGGAACGAAACATGGAAAAAGCAGTTGCAAAGTTTATTCAAGAAAGCAAAAATGAAGTGGGAGAAAAACTGGCTCTACAGAGCAAGCGTGGGCGGAGTAAATTAAAAAAGAGGGTAAAACCAAAGATAATAGTATGCTGGATCTGGGAAAGTTATGATAGCAAAGCCTTCATGGCATCCATGTGTCCTTTTATGCTGTCTACATAATGAGGAAACCCAAGAGAATTTCTACATACAGGTCCTGAGAGGCAGTACTGAGATCTAGGCCATCCTGTTGAAAATCTGCTGGAGTTCTTGGAGAAGCCTACGTGCAGGGATTTGAGAACTGTTCTGTGCACGTGTCTGGAATCTTCTAATTAAAAGGTTATGCCTACTTCCTCAGCCAGCCTTTGCCACGCCCTTACCTCCTATCTCAATCCTTTATAAATGAAACCATTAGTGGATGTTATTATAGAATAAACTTGGGAGGGTGTGAAAAGGACCAAGAACTGAACCCTGAGTGACACCTACAGGCAGGAAATGACAAAAAGGCACTGTTAAAAATTGTAGGAGGCCATTATTTTGGATTAAACTTTTGCACTGGATCACAACAGATCAGATTAAGAATCAAAATGGAGACACTCACACTAAAGTTTCATATCACCAAACTGAAACAAAAGCTGTTAATCTGGTCTTCTGGAGAAATTAGGGATTAGGTAACAGCCAAGTTTACCAAACAGGCCAGTTTCGATTGGCATGATCATAATAAATTTCCTCTGGCTTAATCTTTCCACATACAAAAAAGTAATCTGATGTTAACTAATCAGTTATTTTCCTCTTGTTCTGTATTCCTGTCCCTGCCTGCAGAATAAATTTTAAAGTGACCAGACAGTTGCCTTCTGTGCATTGTTTGTTTCCCCAGCCTTCTGTCTGTTAGACCAATCTCTTCTGTTCAGCCCATTAAAATGCTTACTCTATTTTATTGAATGAAGTGCTGCTCAATTCTGGAATTGAAAATAAAGTCAATTAAGATCTTTAAACTGTTGTAATTTTTATTCTGACAGGATCTTGCTATATACTTCATGCTGGCCTTGAACTCACTATATGTAGCCCAGGCTGACCTTGAACTTGCAGCGATCCTCCTGCCTCACCCTGCCCAGTGCTGGGATTACAGGCATGTGCCACAACGCCTGGCTCTAAACTGTTGTAATTTTGTCTTAGGAAATTAAGATGAAAAAGTAATACAGAATCACATTTAGGACAACGGTACCACAAAAGCTGCAAGGAAAGGAGGTTTCAAGAAGAAAAGCAAGACAGAGAGAAGAGCAATAGCTCTGTGGTGGATGGAGTGCTTGCCCAAGAACTAGGGCCAGTTTTTGTTTTTCGTTTGTTATCATTTGCATTTTTATTAGCATTCTGGTTTTCTGAGTGTTTTTTTTCTTTTCTTTTCTCTCTCCCACACCGTGGATAGTGGAGAGGAAGGCTAACCTGACAGGGGTCAGGTATCTTTATCATGGAGGGGGCCATACCCGACACTAATGGAGGAAAGCTAACCTGACAGGGGACAGGTATCATTATTATGGAGGGGGTCATACCCAACACAAATGCCTTATGGCTCCCCAAAAGGCTATTCTGCCACCTGGGCACAAACACTACCCCGTTGTCATCCAAATGCCCCGCAAGCTCCAGCTCTTTAGAAACCCTAGTGTGCGTTTTCCTCCTCCGTTTGACTATCCGCCGCCGATTCCAGCAAACATCTATTCAGGCCACAAAAACCTTCACAAATGCCTCACCTCTAAAGTACCCTCCCTAATTCTCCTAGGGAAAAGTAAAGCATTTCATTTGTGTTCCAACAGTTGTCCGTACCTTACATGGCTTTGAAATTATCAGCTGCACATGTGGCTCAAACAGGGACAGGCGGACCAAAAAACTTCAAGGAAGGAAAGCTGAGGGAGATGACGCCCTCACAGGTTCCATGAGAGGAACAAGAAACACTACAACTCCCATGAGGCAGTAGGGCGAAGGAACGCACAACTCCCACCATCCTCTGCGAGGCGCCAGTCCGGGTAGGAGGTGAAGCGAGAGGCGGGTAAACATTTAAGGAATCTGTGGAGAAGGAGTCGCCTTTCTGGATGGCAGCCTGTGAGGAGGAGTTTGAAGTCCCGACAGAAGAGCTGGATGTAGCTCAAGGCCATGAGAACTTTCCAGTTAGCGCCTGGCCCCCGGGGGCGGAACCAGAGCCCTTCCAGGTAGGGGCGGGGCTAGGAGACGCTGGGCGGTGAGCGCTGGCCGGTGAGCCCTGAGCGCTGAGCGCAGCGCCCGGGGGCGGGACCAGAGAGCGTGGTGCGCAGCTGCTCCAAGGGGTTGCAGGTTTCAAACTGACTGAAGCTGCGGGGCTCTCGACAGTTTTTCCTCAGTTACTGGCACGTGAGAAAAGTTACAGGCGCAAGCTTCAGTGTTTTCCTGTTGTAGTTAAGAGCTTAGCAAAGATTTTGCTCTCTTCTGTCCGTAGACTGGCAGTTCTCTGAAGTGAAAGACCAGAGTCCTGCAGCCCCTTGGAAGGAGCTCTGACAGCCAGGTTTTTTGTCCATTCTATCCTAGGAACTCATTTAGGGTTCTAGGGAAAATCAGTTACTTCTAAGATAAGGCTAAGGCCTATTAATAGATCTCAACCTGGTGTCCTAAAAAACAGCCACTGCACTCAGAGGTCTCTCGCTGTTAAGTCTCAGAGAGATACAGATTACCTCCTGCAAAGCCTTATAGTCCACCAGGGTACAGTTTAAATAATACCACTCTTCCCAGTTGCTTTGAGAATTACAAATAAAATACAATTCGTGGTTCATACATGAACTCAGTAAGTGCTCACTGCTATCAACTGTCTCAAAGCCCTTTCTCTTACTTTCTCAAACCCTGATTGGGGCCTACAAGTTTCCTTGGAATCTGGAATAACAACAACGAAAAAACCTTGAAGGCCGGCTACGTGGGATATGCCTGTAATACTGGGTATCCCCGAGGATCACTTCAGGGATTTGAGACCAGCCTGGGCAACATAGCAAGACCCTGTCCTAAATCAGTCAATCAATCAATCAGTAAAACATCCAAAGGCTGTTTGAGAGCCAGATAGGTTGGTCATCTTAGCTATTTCACACAGCTGAGTTTCTTCATCTGCAAAATAAAAATAATTTTAAAATGTATAGCCCTTTTCACATCTATTATCAATTTTGAACACTCCCTACCCTTTTTTTCTAGAGTTGTGAGGATGAAATAAGTCAATAGCAATTTTCAAAATAGAGCAAGATAGTAACATGAGACATTATTCTCTCAAATTGATTTATAGCTAATAATACAAGTTTATATTTGTATTGGCCATTTACAGTTAATACAAGTGGCAAGCACTAGATGAAACACTGATGCCTGAAGAATTATTCATGACCAAACATTGCTGAATGCCTGATCAAAACACTGATATGTGTTTCTTTAGTGAACAAATAATTGAATTCCTATAATATACCAGGTTCTGTATTAGGATAGACCTAGAAAAGAAGATGAATCACACAGTTCTTCCCCTTAGGCTTATAAGAGCAGGTAGACATGGTTGGGTTTTTTCCCCCAAAGCCTGAGGTCTGAGGCTTGACACATGCTAGACAAACACTACCACTGGCCCTTAAAAAAAAAAAAAAAAAAACTAAAGAAAAAATACCACTCTTCTAATATATTCTGATTTAAGTTTAATATTTACTAAGGACTCTTCGTATCCAAGATGGTGAGTTGGGTTGCAGAGAATACAAAAAGCAGAAAAGCATACTCCCTGCCTTCAAAATGGTAACGACTAAGTTGTAATTAATTTTAACCGATTAGTTTGTACTGTTGAACAAAACTATTGTTTTTGTGTGTGTGAATCTTTAAATGTTTGTAATTTGAGTTATGCTTACTTGCCACATCCAAGAATAATTTGTAAAACTATTGGCCAAATATATTTCTTTAAATTAATTTAAGTATGAAATTAACTTGCTCAAGAATAAATTGGCCCAGGCCAGGGATTTAGCTCAGTGGTGCCACACCAAAGCTCAAGGCACAAGGTCCTGAGTTCGATCCCCCATACTCCCCCCCTAAAAAAATGAATTGGCCAGCCAGGCATGGTGACGCCTATAGTCCCAGAACTCAGGAGGTTGAGACAGGAGGACCACTGCGAGTTCAAGGCCAGCCTGGGCTACTTAGTGAGTTCAGGGCCAGCCTGAACTACAAAGTAAGATCCAGCCTCAAAAAAAAAAGAGAATAAATTGGCCAGGAATGGTGGAACTCACCTGTAATCCCAGCTACTCCAGAGACTGAGGGAAGAGGATCACAAGTTCAAGACCAGCCTGGGCAATTTTAGCAAGGCTCTATCTCAAAATGAAAAAAGCTAGAGATGTAGCTCAGTGGTAGAGCACTTGTCTAGCATGCATGAGATCCTGGGTTGAATCCCCCTCCAAAAAAAACAGGATAAATTAATTTATATGTCTTTCCAGTAGAATCATTTAATTATTAATGTCCATAATATGGGATTAGATGTGCTGGTTATATTCTTCAAAATGCACTTTTAAATACTTGTCTGTTTTTAAAAATGAGAGAGGAGACAAGAAAAAGATTTTTGATTGATGCTTAGACTTATAGTTGATGGCGTAAATAAACATCAGTAGACTGAAATAAAAGTTCTTTACCTATGTATATACATCTCTCTGGATAGAGTTAGAATTACAAAGACAGGATTCCTTCCTCACGGAGTTAATGGTATTACCAAGAAGATACAGCATGCTTGATATATTTAAAAGACAAATCCCAAATTGCCTTCAATTAATTTTCTTCTGTATATTCAGGGAGCACAAGACCAATCTTGTAAAAGGTCAAAACAGCTTGCTTGCTCCAAACCCTGCCTTCACAGGCATATGCACACATAAAAATTAAGGCCTGAAAAACCTAAGGTAAAAATAACTTTGTGTCTGGTTTGCTTTTGTTTGCTGTGTGAAAAGGCAAAAAAGAACATTGAACTGTTCAGATTGGAAGCAAGCATATTGTAATATCATTAGGGTTGAAAGCCAAGTAGAAAATAAACTGATTGATTTTCTTGAGCTAGGAGTCAGATCTAATCATTTTTTAGACTTCAAATATTATTTTTAAGATGTCAGTTGGGCCTTGACAAGAATTATCTGGCTCATAGTCTTCTAATAACTGTTTGGAGCAAATACAAACTTAGGAGGCTAGAGGCCAAGTACAAAGATTCTTGTAGCTGGGGTTTCAACACTACCAAAAAAGGAAAGAAGATTTTCATTACACTTCCTTAAGATTCAGAATTGAGGCCCAGATTGTAAACCCAGATTATTATTTGGAGTCATAGTTCAGTTTCTGGGACCTTGCTTGATATAGAACTTGACTCACAAAAAATCCCACTTCCAGGTAAAAGATATCAGGAGCCTATAATCAAACAATCAAAAAGTCCTTCCTGGGCTGGGGATTTAGCTCAGTGGTTTCACTGCCTGTTGCACAAGTGCAAGGACCCAAGTTCAATCCCCGGTACCAAAAAGAAAAAGGTCCTTCCTGAGAGCCTACTGTGTGCCCAGACTATGGGTAGAAACCCTGCCCCCATCTCCACTCCATACCCCAAGTCTTATGACTGCCTTTCCTTGAAAGAAGGCCTACACATTTAACACAAAGTGCCTGCCCAGTAGTCCATGATGTTCACGTCTCAGAGTTCGTGTTATTAATAATAAATGCTGACCTAGTTCTGAGAAGGAAGAAATTATTGCAGACAAAAGTAGTAATGAAAGTGTATTTGCTCTTCAGCATGTTTTCTCCTAGTTCCATTCTGGCTTCTTGGGTAATTATTGTTTATTGAAAAAATTTTCTGTCAAAAAACTTGAAATCTCCACTGCTGCTTTATAGATCTGGTTTCTGAGGCATTGATTTGCACTGATCATTTTGCATTTATTCTTAACTCTTGCATGAGTAATTCTATGTTTTGATACATACCAAGAAAAAAACAAAGCTTGTGATCTGACAATGCAAGAAATGATCATCCCCAAAAATCCTATTTTTCATATCCTCCTGTGTATTTTTCCAGCTGATTCCAAATCCCAGAATATGCATATAACAGGTAATAAGTTAATATTTGTTTTTTTGTTTGTGGTTTTTTGTTGTTGTTGTTGTTTTGGTACTGGGGATCAGACTCAGGTCCTTGTGCTTGTGAGGCAGGCAGCGGAACCACTGAGCTAAATCCCTGCCCCATAAGTTAATATTTGTTAATGAATGCGAGAAGTCTGGGCTAAGTCAACTCTTGGCTTTTCTCCCACTCAAAATAGCTAAGTAATGGAGGACAGGAAACTAATTCCTAGACACAGTTTTGCTTTGAATATGTTTGATCCAGGGGAGTTTAACTTCACAACTATTTTCTTTACCACCCTGCTGCTCAGCCTGCATAATTTTTACTAAACACTTATGTGCCAATCACTAGAGTAAGCTTTTTACGTGGCTTACATTTTTTTCCTTTATTGCAACCAGTGAAGTAGATAAGATGTTTAAAGGAATTAAGTAATTTTCCAGAAATATGTGATGATAAAACACCTTAAAAATAATATCTAGAAGAATTAAATGAAGTTAGTTTTTTATTAGAATATGTTGAGAAAAAAAAAAGGCCAGGGATTTAGCTCAGTGATTCCACTGCCTGCCCAAGGACTCGAGTTCGATCTCTGGTACCAAAAAAAAAAAAAAAAAAAAAGAATTTCTATTAATTAAAAAAAAAAAAAAGATTTTAGCATATGTTGAGAACCTAATATTTTTAAAGTATCAAGTGCCTGGCACTGAGTACAGTACTATTTCATTTAAAGTTCATGACAGCTACCCGAAGTATGAGTATTATCCCTCTCTTATCTCTGATTTCCTGAAGTTTAGTAAATCATCAGCTCAAGTCACAATGCTAATAAGAGCCCAGCTCTCTTTGTGTCTCCTTCAGGATAATCCCCATTCTCCACTAAGAAGCCTTCACTGCCTGGCCAGTGTTATAGGCCATACCCAAGAGTTTTCCTGTCTGGCCTCTTACACACTTTGCTCCACTCGCATCTCCTAGTTGGAGACCTCATTGCTCATTGGCCATTTACATCTTTGACTAACTTTTCCATCCATTTTTTGGAACCATTATCAGCTTTCACCCTATTATAACAATCAAAAAATCATTTATAAGACTTGTAATACCGACTGGCTAAAGCTAAACAGGAAGAGAATTGCTTCAGATAACAGAAAAGTCCAAAAGTGATGATTTTAGGCATATGCTGATTCAAGAACTCTTTAACAGTGTCATCAGATATTTCTTTCTACCACATTCTTCCTTTGCAATTCTATTTTCTTTTTCATGGTTGGCTACATATTTAATACATCTTTATGTGGTTAACTTGAGAATACAGAGAAAACACTACGGTTTACCAACTCCAATGGAAAGGGCGTGCTGCTTTCTCAAATTGATTGAGTAGAATTCTATTTCATTATTATGACTTAGGTCATGTGTCCACCCATAAACCAAGTACTTTTGAAAAAAGCAAATGATAATGATGTTTTGTCAGGTCTAGATCTTGGTCCAGCTGGGACCCTTATCCAAGCCACTGAGACAAAAATAGGGGCTTTTAAAAGTTAAGTGAAATAAATCAGACACATGAGTTTAAATATCTCCTGGTTTCTGTTATATGAGAAACCTAAATTGTAAATAAAGAGAAAATAAAAAGATAGAGAATAGAAAGTAGGGAGATCTTTCTCAAATGAGAAGAGGATCAAGAGGTGGATGGAGAAGGGAGGGAAAGAAAGGAAAGGGGATGACAAAAGGAAAAATATGTTACATACACATACCAACTCAATACAAGGAATGTAAACATTATGTACTACAAACGTACTAATAAAAAAACTGAGCAAAACAATTTTAATATCATGTCAGCTGCCTCTGAATTTACTTTCCCTTAGCTTTTGGATACACAAAGTTCAGCAGTTTGCCTAGCTTATAAATATTTGAATGTAAGGTAAATGACTTCAGATTATTTCTAAAAAGAATAAATACTTTTTCAACATGCAGTCACCTGAAAACATGGGTAATCACATAATCATATGTTAAATTAGACCAAGGTTTTCAAAAGATTATTCTTCATAATAGTCATTTTTAAGTCTAATAAAGTATCTTTTTGGCATGGTATTTTACTGACCTTTTGTGAAGGAGAAAATGGAGATACGGGAAGATAAAAATGACTTCATTGTTTTTAAATGGGAAATTTACCTAGAACACTGTACTGTCCTTTTGAAGTTATCTGCAGCTCATTTGGAATTAGCTACCATTTGTAATCTAAGCCCCTAAAGTCCCTAGCTTAGATCATGCTTTAATTGGAGAACTTTAAAAAATATATAACTTTGGGAGTGAGGTACTAGGGATCTAACCCAGGGCCTTGTGCATTCTAGGCATTGAGCTCTACCACTAAACTATCCCCCTAATCCTTAACAACAACAACAAAATCACTTTATAACCTTTTAAAATAATAGCTTTTTTTTTTTTTTTTTTTTGGTACCGGGGATTGAACTCAGGTCCTTGTGCCTGCAGAGCAGGCGGCGGAACCACTGAGCTAAATCCCTGGCCCAATAATAGATTTTTAAAAAATATCTCCTCAAAAAAGATTTGAGATTCTCAAAAAATTTTTTATTTTAAGTAAAAATAAATACAATAGGGGTTGGAGGCAGTACTGGGGATAGACCCCAAAAAGCATTGAGCTAGGAGGCCTGTTTGAAAGATGTGCAATGTGAACATTCCTGTAGGTACTCTCAGAACTACTCCTAAATGAAAGGCCATGCAGCTGGTCTTATCTAACTGCTGGGGCTGCATGCTGACAGTCTTTATTGAGGGTCAGAATAAAAATCACCCTTGGAAACTGCTTTCTACAAAAGAATGGTTTGGAAGAACACATTGGTGAAAGTTTTTTCAGTTGTGAATACTGACAGAAGCCAATGCTACTCCTGAACAGTGAGATTGTTCCTTACAGACAGTATTAGCTGTACGTCTACTCATATATCACTCTTTAAAATGGCTGCTCCCAGACAGGCCCAAATGTCCAGTCTGCTTCTAGTTATACACTTGGTATATCTAAGCTCACTGGATTGGCTTGCTCATATTTCCCCTTTTACCTTGTGTTAATCACCTTTCTGTTACTCTGACAAAATACCTGAGATAATCAACTGTAAAAGAGGCAAGGTTTTTGAGTCTGTTGCAAGATTCTACCTCTTCAATTTACTTGTGTTAAAAAGTCACTACCTATTTGGCCTAGCCCCTGGTTCTTTGGCATGGCTTATAGTATTGTTTATGACCCTTAGGCCATCTCAGTCTTGGCATACCAGGAAGAACAACTGATTAGAACAATTATGTCTCCTTGGCTAAAGTAGTACAGTCAGCAATAACAATGGCATCAAATGCAGCCTAGAAAATTACAAACTGAGGTAATTGTTAACTTGCCACAAACTGTATGAACTAGATTTGTGGTTATGTAACAAAATCTAAAACAATCCAGAAAATTTTATATGGTAAATATGTCCTCAATATGGCAGTTTTACCCTCAGGTGAGAAAATTTAAACGGGGTTAGGGAGGAAAAGAAAAATAGAAAAAGAAGAGATTAGAAGCACACTGGAGGACAAAGGTAAATTATGCAAACTTTGGGAAACTGGTGAAGAAGACAAGAGGGAAAAAAGAGAAGGAAGAAATAAAAACAAGAACAAAACAACAACAACAACAAGAAAACTAGAAAGCCAGGCATGGTACAACAAGAAAACTAGAAAGCTGGGAGTGGTGGCAGATGCCTGTAATCCCAGCACTTGGGAGGCTGAGGCAGGAGGCTTGCTGTGATTTTGAGGCCAGCCTGGGGTACATAGTGAGTTCAGGGCCAGCCTGAAATACAAAGGGAGACCCTGCCTCAAAAAACCAAAAAAGAAAAAAGAAAGAAAAAACTAGAACTAACATTCACACTTACATAAAAATAAGAACAAACAAGAAAAAAAGCAAAAACAAGAAGAAAAATATCCACTTCATGGTGTGTCCCTGTTGTCACTGGTAGACAGAGTGGGCAGACAGAACCCAAGTCTGTGTTGATTTATCTCAGCAGGCCAGCCATAGTTTTATGATGGGATAATGGATAATTCCAGGAAGCCTGCACCTTTAGTTCCACTGAAGTTCAGGCAGGTTTCTGGCTGTGAGCCTGGAACCCAATTTGTTCAAGCTGCAATACTCTGTGTGCCTCCTTCCAGCTTGATCGTGGTTCTTCCTCACTCTGACACCAGGAGCCACCAGATGGAGCCAGCCCACAGCTGCTCTGTGTTCTGAGTTCAGTTAGCCTTTCTCCAAGACGGCTGCCTGCCAGTTGCCCTCTCCTATGGGATAACTGAATCCAAATAACTCACCAGGCCCTGCAGGCCCCTGTGTCCACTGCTCTTTTCCACTGGTGAATGCTCTGGAATCTCCGGTTATCAGTATGCATCTGCATGTTCAAGCCACCCCTCCTATACACTGAGTCATGGCTCAAGCAGAAAGCCTTGCTTGCCACCGCCTTCTACATTGAGGTCTCTCTCTTCACTTTTCCTGTGGGCTTCAATTCTTGTTTCATATCCTTGCTGAATCCTGGAGACCCACTTCCCTCCTCCTCTTCCTCATATTGCTCTATTCCAGTATCTGGACACCAAATCTTGGGGAGGCTGTTTCTCTGCTGTTCACCACTCCACAATCTTCCCAGAAGTCCTCAAATGTAATGTTTTTAAAGTACAAGTATATTTAAAACACTAAGAAATATTTTCATATTATCCCTTTCACATTTAATGAAAACAGAATTTCAGCTGAGCATAGCAGTGCACACTTGTAATTCCAGCACTTATGGAGGTCGAGGCAGGCAGTTGCAAGTTTGAGACTCTCCCAGGCAACTTCATGAGACCACGATTAAAAATACAAAATTAAAAGAAAATGGTTGGAGGAAGCCTGGAGATGTAGCTCCAGATGTCCTAGAGTAACCCTAGTTTCACTATCCCATACCAAAACAAAACAGTAGTAACAACAACAAAAACCAATTTCTTTACATGTATATGATACATCAAAAAATTTCAGTATTATTAAATGCCATTGCTTGGAATTCTTTCCATAACTGATTTATCACTTAGCATTTTCTTATCTCCTAAAAGGACCCAAAATAACTTACAATAAAAATACATATGTACATTACCAGATAAAGATGAAAGAGATCAAAAACTAAGGATAAAAAAACTGAGCTGCTTATAAATATATAGCTCTGACTGTTCTGACATCCAGAGCTAAAAGGGAAGCAATGAGTTCTAAAAGTTTTAATTTCTGATAAGAGAAAAGGATATCCTTTCTATTGTTATCCTTATACAAGAAAGCCACAAAATTTTAAATCCAAACCTTAATTATCTTCTAAATTGGAGAGATTTTTTTTCAGGCAAAATTTTTATATTTTGTGTTTTGTTTTGTCTTGTTTTTATATATGTTGGAATTAGGAAATGTGTAAGCAAAAAGCTGTTTGAACATGACATGCTCATGCTAACTTGCAGTATTTATATTTTTTACAGTATACCCCTGATCATGTAGTTGGACCTGGAGCAGACATTGATCCCTCTCAAATTACCTTTCCTGGATGCGTTTGTGTCAAAACTCCCTGTCTCCCTGGAAGTTGCTCCTGTCTCCACTATGAAGAGACGTATGATGACAATTTGTGCCTTAGAGATACAGGATCAGAAGCACAGTATGCCAAACCTATTTTTGAATGCAATGTCCTGTGCCAGTGTGGTGACAACTGCAGAAACAGAGTGGTTCAGAGGGGTCTCCAGTTTGACCTCCAGGTGTTCAAGACAGATAAAAAAGGCTGGGGACTTCGTACTTTGGAACTTATATCGAAAGGAAAGTTTGTCTGTGAATATGCTGGTGAAGTGTTAGGATTCTCTGAAGTACAGAGAAGAATTCACTTACAAACAACAAATGACTCAAATTACATTATAGCCATCAGGGAACATATTTATAATGGACAGATACTGGAAACATTTGTTGATCCTACCTATATAGGAAATATTGGAAGATTCCTTAATCATTCTTGTGAGCCAAACCTGTTGATGGTTCCTACTCGAATTGACTCAATGGTTCCTAAGTTAGCACTTTTTGCAGCTAAAGACATTTTGCCAGGTGAAGAACTCTCTTATGACTATTCAGGAAGATTTCTTAATCTAATGGACAGTGAAGACACAGAAAAGACAGATAATAAGAAATTAAGAAAACCTTGTTACTGTGGTGCCAAATCATGTACTGGTTTCTTGCCTTATGACAGTTCATTGTACTGCCCCTTACAAAAGCCAGATATCAATTAGGAAGGAAATTCCCACCCACTCCCTTCCTTAGTGGGCAGGAATAAGAAGGAACCAAGCATGTGTGGTCTACCTGCTTCTGGATTCCCCTTCTGCAAGTAATTTACCTTCCAGGTAATTCTGCTGTGTGGTAAGCAGCTTGCCTCTCTCTATAAATGAGGCTAGTGGTTGTTCTAGCCTTGCCTCTCCCTTATTGTATAAATTTATTTCAAGAATGTGGCAGAGACTAAGTGGTCCACCTTCTCTAATAGAATTCTCATTTTGTTCTGGGTATATGACTACCCATAATACTTGATTTCTTAATTAGACATGGCTAAGTGACTTAGGCTCTAGCTAATGGAATATAAACAGAATTACCATGTCTTAAGTGGAGATAAGTTGCCCTTTTTATTTTTCTTTTAAGCTGGAATCCATACATGATGGCTAGAACGTGGGTAACAATCCTTATTTATCGTTTGTTTCTAAAGATCAGTTGAGGATAAAGATACAGTAAATTATCACTTCCTAAAACCTTAATAACCATCAGTAATGCAAAATATAACCATGAGAATGATCTCTGTTGTATATAAGAGTTAGAAAAGGAAACACATTGTAAAATTTTTATCATACACTTGGCATTACTCCAAAGCTTGTGAAGTTATGCTTCAGAACTCTAGACAACCTCACTTCTTCATATATGAATAGCAGATATACCCTGTCAGCACCACAGGAGATGGGAGTTTTATAATCCCATTTAAACTTCTGGAGAAGGAAAGGTTTCTAACTGGCTTCCTTAAAGCAAAGATGTTGCAAAAATATAGTTTCTATGGATGTTAATTAGACATTTTGAAAGAAAAAATTGAGACCCTATAGTATTAATAATTCCATTTTTCTGTGGTACAATTAAGCCTGAGGTCTTGCACTTAAAATTCAACTATAGAGATCCATGTTATGTTTAACACCCTATTTGTATGTAATATCCTAAGTATGTTAGTTGTATACTTTAAATGAGTAAAATGTATGGTATGTGAATTATGCTTCAATAAAAGTGGGTTTGTTAAAGTATGATAGGATTTATATGTTCATGTAACATTATCAGGTATGAGTCTTTGTGAACAAAAGATAGAGTACTCATAAAATGCCCCAAACTACTAATACACAATGTCAGAATATTCCTCCAAACTCATTTTTCCTTAGAACCTTCCAGTTACTTTGATTTTTTTGAAGCTGTCCCAGTGTTTTAAATTTTATATAAATACATTTTAACGTAAAATTTATAGCTGCTTAAGACCAATTCATTTTTTAGAAGGATTTTTTTTTTTTTTTAGTATGGGGGATCAAACTGAGGACCATGTGCTTGTGAGGCAGGCGGTGGCACCACTGAGTTAAATCCCTGGCCCAAGAAGGCATATTTTGAAGAGAATTTTTATTTTAAAATTTTAGCAGAGGAGAATAGCTTGCTCATTATGCTTTGTTTTTGTTTGTTTGTTTGTGGTACCAGGGATTGAACTCGGGACCTTGCGCTTGTGCGGCAGGCACCAGAACCACTGAGCTAAATCCCTGGCCCGCTTACTCATTATCTTATTGCCCTCTTTCTAGAAACATGAAACTCATCAAAGTACATTTTATTTTATGAGTCTTAAGCTTATTTTATGATAATAAAACTTTTTTCTGAAACACAACTGTTATTGGGTTACTCTTTCAAAATATTCTAGTTGAATTTTTAATGGAAAATGCCTGTCAGTCACCAAGTTGGGTTTAAGGCAATTCTAGAAAGTCCACCCTGGATCTTGAGAGAAGAGCATTGATATCAGGTGCATCAGGTATACAACTGGTGGTCACTTTCATCTAGGGAGTTCTGTAAACATTAGAATTTGGTTTCTCAAATCCTCCTAGTCACTGAGTGTTGTGTTGACCCCATTATTCAGGAGCCAGTTCATTTATTGGTATGCTCCCAGCATACCAACTTCTGCCCACTCACTACATGTCACTTCTATTGGTATATGTTTGCAATACATAATAATTACATTCATTCAGTCCAACTTTGTGTAAGGCAATTTGTATCCCTCATTCCAAAATGGCCTTTCTTCTCACAAGTTCTAACTGAGCTATGTCAGAAACAATAAGGAAATGATCAGAATGAAAAAGTTTGGCTCACTGTTTGGTTCTGTAGATATACTTTCCTGTAGGGAACAGGGAAGGGGACATTACCAGGACCTCTGCCATGGGTCTTGGCCTGTGAGCCACCGCAGCACAAAACAAATTCAAGAACAGACAGAAATGAGACTTAGAGTGGAGAAGCTGAGTCTTGGATCCTGGTCAGTGCTGCTGATGGCAGCAAAGACAAAGGCCCCCCAAGCGCTTCCACTACTTATTGAATACAGTGGTGGGGAGGAATAAGGAGCAGGGTATGCTTTGAAGGCATCCAGTGAAATACTGCCGAACACCTGGCATGATGGTGCCAGGCAGGGCTGTTAAGAGAGTAAGCACTGTTTATATGCTTGGATAGAACAAACTGGTACTGGGATCGGATGCAATTAGCATGCAACCCATCAGGTCAGAGAAGCCATAATTCAGGGGAAAGGGTTTTAATTGGGGTCATGCTGACCTCAGCAGCACGTAAATCAGCAGAGTCCTGCCACTTCACAGACCAGGGCCTAGGTCTCCATGGCATCCATTAAGGGAGGGGCTATTCTTGCCCAGTACACCATCTAACATGCCCATTTGAGTCACATACAGCTTCAGTCTTTACTCCTGATATAAGACAATGTAGCCAAATTATGGAAAGCAAGAAGCAAGCGCCACTCATAGACTGCTGATACTGGGCAGGGATGTCTGCTACACTTTCCCACTTCGTTTCATTCTTCTTTATTGAATGTCAAAGTTGATGATTCAGGGATATTCACAGATGGCAGTTTTCCAAGCATAGGTATGTACTCAAACAGCAGCCTCCATCTTGGTACCTCTGCCAGAAGGAAAATGGACTGAAGACCAATGGAAATTTTTTCTTCTTGCACTAGTTTATTCTTAAATAGCACATAGCCCTAAACAACAGATTCCTATTTGTTTTCAGAGTCTATTTTGTTATGGCTTTAATCTAAATGTCCCCCCAAAGCTTCATGAAGTCATAGGTGGAGCTTTTCGGAGGTGGCTGGATCTAAAGTGTGTGATGCTGTGATCAAGGATGTGTTGCTAGGATTAAGGGTCTGAGTGCTACCCACTCTAAGGGTGGGTAGCCTGGGTAAGATATAAGGGACAGAAAGAGGGTCATTGCTTGTCACTTACTGCTTCCTGGTTGGATCCTTTTGTTGCCTTCTGCCTGCCACAAACTGTTTCTCCTCTGTGATGCCCTTCTGCCATATGCTACCCTGCCTTGGAGCCAGCCAATTATGGACTGAAACCTCTACAAACTGTGAGCCCAAATAAACCTTTCCTCTTGTAACTTTGTGTGTTGGGTATTTTGTCTCAGCAAGAGAAACAGTAACTAAGAATTTAGGAGGAGTTTGGAAAGATTTGGAGATGCTGTCTGAAGAAACAGTGCTGGAATGCCTTAAGCTGTACTTGATGGGAGGTTCTGGTCAGAGCTCGGAAGACCACAATGCTGATAGAAATGCTGCCAGTAAAGATCAGGCTCAAGAGGTTTCTGCTGAGAAAAAGGACTGGATTGGCTATTGAACTCCAGATGATGTGTGCTATGCATTGGCAGAAAGTTTGTATTACACTCATGTCCAGAGACGTTACCTGAGACTGAGATTAAGGGCAGTGAACTAATTAATCTGGCAGAAGAAATTTCAAGGCAGTCTAATGAGATGGTGACATGGCTATTATTGGGAGCTTTTAAGCAGATTTGTGTTGAGAATCAGGAGCAAAGAGCCCAACAGATGATTTAAAGTGTTTTGAGTTTGACCAGAAAGGAACCCCCTGCCAAGATGGAACAGAGGAGAAATTGGTTGCTAAAAAGACTAGCAAGAAAAACCAAAGTATTTCAGAAGACAGTAGAAAAAATGGCCTGAGCGGATCATAAACACTAGCAAGGCTTCACCCTTTGCAGCCTCAAAATTGCAAAAGTGAAAGAATTTTCTTTGAGAAGAGAGCCCCAGAGCACCACGTTCCACAATGGCAGTGACCTAGGGAAGTTGTTCCTCAGGATTTGGTTCGTTTGGTTCATAGGCACTCAATCTCTATAGCCAAGAGAGAAGGAAGCCTCGGTACTACTCCAGCTGGTGGAAGACTTGGGCATTATCCGTGTGGTTCTGGTTTTAGATGCATGGAGAATTCAGGAGTTGTGAGGTCAGAAGTGGGATTCATCCCAGGGATGCAGGAATGGTTCAACATTTGCAAATCAATCAATGCAATACACTATATCAATAGAGCCAAGGACAAAAACCATATGATTATCTCAATACATGCAGAAAAAGCATTTAACAAAATCCAACACACATTTATGATAAAAATCCTACAAAAAATTGGAATAGATGGTCTCTACCTCAATCTGATAAAAGCCACCTATGAAAAATCAGCAGCCAATATCATACTAAATCATCAAAAACTGAAATCCTTCACACTAAAATCAGGAACACAACAAGGATGTCCACTATCACCACTCTTGTTCAATATAGCTTTGGAAACATTAGCCATGGCAATTAGACAAGAGAAAGAAATAAAAGGAATAAAGATAGGAAATGAAGTCAAATTGTCATTATTT